CTTATTAGCCGGCACTGGTGATGCCGAGGATGTCATCATCATCTGTTATTAGGCAGCACTGGTGATGCAAAGGGTGTTACGATGATAATTATCATCATAATCATCATCACAGCACTGGTGATGCAAAGGGTGTTACGATGATAGCTATCATCATAATCATCATCATGATCATCCTTATTATGATGTCATCGCTCTTCTCATCATCATCATTATGATCATCATCATCTCATTCTTGTTCTTATTCTTATATGCATTTCAAAAGTAACGATAGACCCCATTGGCAATGCAGAGGATGCTACGACGATATTTGTCATCACAGTCCTCATCCTTATCATCACTATCATCATGGTTATTATCATCTCTTATTAGCCGGCACTGGTGATGCCGAGGATGTCATCATCATCTCTTATTAGGCAGCACTGGTGATGCAAAGGGTGTTACGATGATAGTTCTCTGCCTAAGAAGAGATGATGATGACATCCTCGGCATCACCAGTGCCGGCTAATAAGAGATGATAATAACCATGATGATAGTGATGATAAGGATGAGGACTGTGATGATAAGTATCGTCGTAGCATCCTCTGCATTGCCAATGGGGTCTAACGTTACTTTTGAAATGCATATAAGAATAAGAACAAGAATGAGGTGATGATGATGATGATCATGATGATGATGAGAAGAGCGATGACATCATAATAAGGATGACCATGTGGTAATGCAAAGGGTGTTACGATGATAGTTATCATCATAATCATCATCACGATCATCCTTATTATGATGTCATCGCTCTTCTCATCATCATCATGATGATCATCATCATCTTATTCTTGTTCTTATTCTTATTCTTATTCTTATATGCATTTCAAAAGTAACGTTAGACCCCATTGGTAATGCAGAGGATGCTACGATGATAGTTATCATCACAGTCCTCATCCTTATCATCACTATCATCATGGTCATCATCATCTCTTGTTAGTCGGCACTGATGATGCCGAGGATGCTACGATGATATATATCGTCACAGCCCTCATCTTTGTCATCGTAATCATCATGGTCATCATCGTCTCTTAGTAGCCGGCACTGGTGATGCCGAGGATGCTACGATGATAGTTATCATCACAGTCCTCATCCTTGTCATCATTATCATCACGGTCATTATCATCTCTTATTAGGCAGCACTGGTGATGCAAAGGGTGCTACGATGATAGTTATCATCATAATCATCATCATGATCATCCTTATTATGATGTCATAGTTTCAAAAGTAACGTTAGACCCCATTGGTAATGCAGAGGATGCTACGATGATAGTTATCATCATAATCATCATCACGATCATCCTTATTATGATGCCATCGCTCTTCTCATCATCATCATGATGCTCATCATCATCTCATTCTTGTTCAAGGGCTGCCGCCCAGTGCCGCCGACCTCTGGATTTAGTTGTGGTTTTCGAGCAACCAAAAACACTGCCCTTGGTTTTGGTTTCTTTGGTTTCTTGCGAATGATGCGTAGTGATGATTATCATCGAGGCAGGATCTGAGGCGAGGTGCCGTTTCGACAGTGATGCGTAGTCATGATTATGATCATCGCTGCTGGAGATGCTGGGGATGCGTAGTGATGATTATCCTCATGATTGCCACAGATGCTGCGAATGATGATTATCATCAAGGCAGGACTCCAAATCTCAATGACACAAATGGCATCTGAGGCGAGGTGCCGTTTCGATAGTGATGCGTAGTCATGATCATCGCTAGGCACACTTGGTAATGCAGAGGATGCTACGATGATAGTGATCATGACAGGGATCATTTGTTGCCCAGCAAGTCACAGTCCCTGTTCGTGTCTTCAAAAATGCAAACAAAACCCTGAAATACAAGATTAGCCTTTTGGGGCCACTAACATTTCACCCAAAAGAAACCAAAGAAACCAAAACCAAGGGCACTGTTTGTTGTGGCTCCAAAACCACAACTAAAATCCAGGGGTCGGCGGCACTGGGCGGCAGCCCTTAAATCCGGCCACCGGACGTGATCGGGCCGCAGGCCAAAGCCCGGTAGTCCGGTAGGGCTTACCTTCAGGTATAAGGCCGCGCGCCCCATGCCGCCGACCATGCTCCGACCATGCTCCGACCATGCGGGTACGTTTTGGGCTGGGCCTTCCTTATAAGGGGCGAAGGATTCGCGGATTGGTTTAGGCGATTTTTGTAGCATCTCCCCGCAGCGCCCAAAAACGAGCATTTTTAGGGGGTGCCTAATACTGGACAACACCCCCAGCATTGCCAGCATCATCCCGGATGATGCGGATGATGTTATGCATGCTGGCGATGCGGGGGATGCTGGGGATGTTGTCCCCTAAGTCGGGCCAATTTTGCCGAAAACGTGCAACCTGAAAATCTTAAAATCTAAAGTGGATGGAATTGGATGGAAAATGGCCTGGATTGAAATCTCAAAATCCTAGAGTCTTAGACTTAATTTAATATCTAACAATCAATCTTAGAATCTCAAAATCTTAAAATCTTAGAACTTAGAATGTTAAAATCTAAAAATATAAAAACTTCCTAAAGTCTTCGAATCTTGAAATCTTAAAAACCTTATGTCTTAGAATCTTGAGATCTTAAACTCTTAAAATATGAAATCTTAGAACCTTAATTCTTAAACCATTGAAACCTTAAATTCCGAAAGTCTTCAAATCTGAGACCCTTAGAATCTCAAAGTTTTTAGAATTTTAAAATCTTAACATCTACTCATCGGACTTACAGGAAAGGGAAGTGACAGAAACCCTCATGTCTTTGAATCTTCAGATGTTAAAATCTTAAAATATGAAATTCCTAAATTCTCAAAGTCTGAAAATCTCAGAATCTTAAAAGCTTCAAAAACTTAAATTCTTTAAATCTCGAACTATTGCAGTCTGAAAATCTTAACTTCATAAACAAGTAAAATAAAATAAAATTCCTTCAATACGGGCTATATTATTCTAAATTCCTTAAACTCTTAATCTTCAACTTTTGAAGTCTTGACATCTTAAGATCTTAAAATCTTAAATTCCGAAAGTCGCCAAATCTGAAAATCTCACAAAAAAAGAATCTTAAAGCCTTCGAAATCTGATAATGGATGGTAAATGGCTGGGCAATGGCCTGGCTGTTATCACCTTCAAAAGCCTTAAATCTTCGAATCTTAAAACCTTAATTCTTCAACCATTGAAACCTTAAATTCCGAAAGTCTTCAAATCTGAGACCCTTAGAATCTCAAAGTTTTTATAATTTTGAAATCTTAACATCTACTCATCGGACTTACAGGCAAGGGAAGTGACAGAAACCCTCATGTCTTTGAATCTTCAGATGTTAAAATCTTAAAATATGAAACTCCTAAATTCTCAAAATCTGAAAATCTCAGAATCTTGAAAGCTTCAAACACTTGAATTCTTTAAATCCCGAACTATTGCAATCTGAAAATCTTAAATTCCAAAACAAGTAAGATATAATAAAATTCCTTCAATCCGGGCAATATTCTAAATTCCTTAACCTCTTAATCTTCAAATTTTGAAGTCTTGACATCTTAAGATCTTAAAATCTTAAATTCCGAAAGTCGCCAAATCTGAAAATCTCAAAAAAATCAATCTTAAAGCCTTGGATGAAAAATGGCTGGGCAATGGCCTGGCTGTTATAACCTTCAAAAACCTTAAATCTTTGAATCTTAAAACCTTAATTCTTCAACCATTCAAACCTTAAATTCCGAAAATCTTCAAATCTGACCCTTAGAATCTCAAAGTTTTTTAGAATTTTAAGATCTTAACATCTACTCATCGGACTTACAGGAAAGGGAAGTGACAGAACGGGCAGGGCAAGGTGCCCGGTGGCCGGCTGTGTCGCGTCAGCGTGTAAATCCGGCCACCGGGGGCTTCAGACCCCGTGGTCCGTGATACGGCCGAAGGCCTAGGCCCGGAGGGCCTACCTTCAGGTACAGGGCCGGCCGCCCTGTGCCGCCGACCACCGCCGACCATGTGCCGACCATGCGCTATACTTTTGCGCTGGGCCCGCCCTTATAAGGGGCGAAGGATTTACGGATTTGTTCAGGCGATTTTTG